GATGAAACCATGCATGTTCCTACAAAATTGGTGCTCAACAGAGATGGTGAGAAGGTCATCAATCCCGCTATCTTCGCTATGTTAAGCAAGATAGCTCGTTGGCGTCTTGGCTCCTCTCTACGGTAAGTTCCAATATCTTGCCTAATCTGGTAGGTGTTGAGTCCATTACTGCTGTTTGGAGTGCTATCACTCGATTATACTCTAAACTCTCTACTACCAAGATTATGGCTCTTCATTGCCATCTGAGATCAATGAAAAAAGGCACCAAGTCCATGCGTGATTACACTATGGCCATCAAGGAAATTTGTGATTTGTTGGTATGTTATGCTAATCCTATTCTGATATTGATCATATTGCTACCCTTCTCAATGGATTTTCAGTTGAGTATGAACCAACAGTAGCTGCTATTATAGCGAGCAGAGAACTTTTGGCTTGGATAATATGGTGTTTGTTCTTATCGATGTCGAGACTTGGCTTGAGGATACCTCTCGTCTTCCTGTTGATGTCAACTTCACTCGCAATAATGCAAATCAAGATTCGGTAAGACAACGAGCCAATCATGCAAACAAGCATTATGGGGGAGCCAAATCAAAAGGCAATGCTGGAGGAAGGGACAAAAGAAGACCCAGGCAGTAGTGTCAACTTTGTGGGAAGTTAGGTCATCTGGATGACCGGTGCTGGCATAGATTTGGTCAAAACTTTAAGGGGTTACAGCTCAACATAATCATTCAGATGCTCTGGGCAATGTTTGTGCTTGCTTTCCTCATGCTTCAGACTGCACTTACACTCATTTTTTAAGTCAAATCACAGGCGCAGTGTCTGTTATGGAAAATGTTGAGAACATACAGGTGAATGCTTTAATGACTGATGGACCCTTGCACTACAAATGGTTTCCTGATTCGGGAGCCACACACCATGTGACTGGTGACTGCTCCATGCTTGCAAACGTGAAATCATACACAGGTACCAGAAAAAGTTCTTCTAGGAGATGGATTGACTATTAATATTAGTTATTTTGGTAAAAAGTTAATTTCTTCTTCCTATAGGAAATTTTCACTTGATCAGAAATAGTATGTGCCACAGATAACCAAAATCTTATGTCAGTTGCAAAATTTACTAAAGACAATTTGGTATATTTTGAGTTTCACGTGAATGTTTGTTATGCTAAGGATGGACGCACATGAGCTGTGCTGATGAAAGGTAGACTTGGTGGTGGATTGTATAGCTTTTATTGTCAAGCCTTAGAAGAAACAATAGTTGTTTGCAGTGCTTAGTCAAGAATAGTGATGAGTTTTGGAGGTAGCAAATGAGGCTAGGACATCCTACAGCTGAGGTGGTAAAAGCTGTTGCAAACAAGGACTTGTCTGTTGATAAAACTAGTATATGTACTGCCTTTCAAATGGGAAAAAAGTCATGTCCTTCCCTTTTCTGCTTCTCGAACCATGTATACACATCCTTTTGAGTTAGTTGAAATTGATGTATGGGATCCTACTCCTATAAGCTGTTGTGGTTTTCGTTATTTTGTGTATTTTGTAGATATGTACACAAGAAATAGCTAGGTATATTTGTTACGAAATAAGAGTGAAGTTTCTGTTGCCTTCAAGATATTTGTTGCCTTCATTAAGAATCAGTTTTCTGCAAATATTCTTGCTCTACAAACCGATGGTGGTGGAGAATTTATATTTCTGGAAGCCATATCTCATCATCTAGGTATTCAACTTCGAAAGTCATGTCCACATACTTCCCAGCAAAATCGAGTAGTGGAAAGAAAGCATAGGCACATAGTAGAAACTGCCCTTACCTTGCTGGCTCATGCTTCACTTCCACTATCATATTAGTCACATACAATCTTAAGTGCAATTTTTCTTATCAATAGAATGCCAACCAGGTTGTTTGGGAATCTCTCTCTTCATCAGAAACTGTATGGCAAGCCACTTGATTATAACTTTTTCAAGGTGCTTGGTTGTGAATGTTTCCCACACCTTATACCTTTCAACAAGAACAAAATGGACTTTCGCCCAAGACCTTGTGATTTTCTCGGTTACTCTCCAAATGCATCATGGTTACCAGTGCATGGATGAAAATGGTAAAAATTTTATGTCTCGTAACGTGGACTTTAATGTAGACGTGTTTCTATTTTCTTAGAAAAATCCAACAACTAACAAAGATAAGGTGTGCCGTGTTCAATCCAATTCTTTACAGGTCATTCCTATCACTTCTGCAGTACCTATGTATGTTGCTCCTGTCAACCCTACTCATGATAATAAACCTACAGGCCTCACAGTTGATTTTGGTAGTCCTGTCCCAATTACAAGTAGCGAGGATCACATGGCTACAGTCTCAACTCCTCAATCCGCGGATGAGGCCCAAATTAAACTGCCACCTATTGATCAAGTAAATCAATCCTCTGATGATGAACAGACTGGGAATGGGGCTACTCCATGTGAATGTTTTCAAATTCAACATCAAGAAAGTCAGGCAGAAAGAATCTCGACAGATACACATGCTATGGCTACCAGGAGCAAGCATGAGATTTCCAAGCAAAAGGGTTACACAGTGCAATGTAAGGAGCTACCTATTGACATCCATGCAGCGCTTGAAGATAATAACAGGAGAGAAGCAGTTCTATCTAAGTATAATGCTCTTCTGAGCAATAATACGTGGAGGATTGTTGAACTACCAGTTGGAAAGCTGCAAATGACTCTTCAAGGTTAAGAAGCATGTAGATGGTTCTGTGGAAAGATTGAAAGCTAGGTTGGTAGCTAAAGGGTATTCACAAATACCAGGTTTTGATTTCATGGACACTTTCAGTCCAGTAATTCGATTCTCCACTGTAAATATACTACTTGCATTGGCTGTAACATGTAACTGGCAGATAAGGCAGGTTGATGGGAACAATGGCTTCTTAAAAGGTGAACTGAGTAAGGAGGTTTACATACATCAAATACCATGGTTTGAAGAAACCTCACATGATAAAAAAGTGTTAATGTGTAAATTACAAAAGGCCTTATATGGTCTAAATCAAGCTACTAGAAACTGGTTCCCCAAGCTCAAAGAGTTCTTGTATGGATTAGGATTTGAATCCTCACGAGCTGATTCCTCTCTCTTTATACGTGCAAATGATGGAGTGGTAACCTATGTAGTAGTTTATGTAGATGACATACTGATCATTGGGAGTTTACAGGAGGAAGCAGATTAGGCATTTCATAAACTCAATGAGAAATTTTCGCTCAAAGACCTCGGACAACTGAAGTTCATTCTTGGTATAGAGGTGCATCGATCAGATTGAGGTTTATTTCAAACAAAAAAAGTTTATTACTAACACTACAGCAAAACTGTTATGTAGCGGCGTTTGGAGAGTAAACACCACAAGTTTTAAACATATAGCGGCGTTTACAATCCAAACGCCACAAATTGATACTTTAGCGGCGTTTTTTGTACAAACGCCGCAATAGAGTAGTAATATAGCGGTGTTTTTACCACAAACGTCGTAATAGGGTTATTTATAGTGGCGTATTTTCAACAAACGCCGCAATAAAGAATACTTTTGCGTCGTTTTTAGACAAATGCCACAGAAGGGTTAATCAATAGTGGCGTTTCTTGTAAAAATGCCGCAATAAATAATACATTTCGCGGCGTTTTAGCCTAAACACCGTAATAGAGTAGTAATTTAGCGACGTTTATACCACATACGCTGTAATTGGGTTTCTTTAGTGGCATTTTTTGAACAAACGCCGCAATAAATAATACTATAGCGTCGTTTTTAGACAAACGGCACAATAGTGTTAATCAATAGTGGTGTTTTTTTTGTATAAACACCGCAAAAAACATGTGATATATTGGCGTTTTTTTAAAACGCCGCCAAATGTTAAATATATGCTCCACCCTTTTCTCTTACCCGATCCCTAAAATCATTTTAACTCTTCTTCCCTCAAAGCTTCTTCTCTGATACAACAATAACCCTCACACGATTCCAAGCGACGTTGTCTTTTGTCTGTCCCGGTGACCAAATCGACCCTCTCACCGGCGAACTATAACACAATTGCACTGTTTGATCTCTCTCACTACAACAAATTTTCTTATTAGTGGCATCTAGATTAGTGGCATCTAGTGTATTGTCATTAAAACTTCAATTTATGTCACTAGATGTATTTTGTGACGTAAAAGTCAATGTCATGACGATCGTCACCCTAGGTGTGTCATTAAATGTCAAAAGTGACGATGTATGTGTTATCGTCGTGTATTGTTAAATATATAGTGATGTTAATGGATAACGTCAGAATTTAATTTGCATTCAGTGACAATTACTTTTGTCACCAAATGATGTACATTTTCGTCATTAATAAATCATATCGTCACCAATAACACAATAATTTCATTGAATACGTGACGAAAAGAAAATTGTCACATTGTTAGTAACATAGTATATCGTCACCTAATAGTAACATGGATGACATTTATATATAACGTCACTATATAATTAATATTCAATGACAACTAATTATGTCACTAAATTATGTAAAATTTCGTCATTGATGATTTATATCGTCACGGATAATACATTAAAATCAACATATATGTGACGAAAGAGATATTATCACATTTTTAGTGACATAATATAAATGTTACCTAATAATATTATGAATGACGTATATGCATAATGTCACTTTATAATTTAAATTTTATGATAGTTGTTAAATTAAATAATATTTCGTTATTGATAATTTATATTGTCACAAATAATGCATTAAAAGCAACTTATATGTGACGAAAGAGATATTATAGCAAAACACAAATAATTTATAATCTATGACATTTTTAATGACACTATATATTAAAATAAAATTATTTATACAAATCAAAATAAAAACTAAAATAGTTCACTTATTGCAAAATAATAAGATTTAAACAAATATTTCACTAAATACATAATAATTTCATTTCTATAAGTATAAAAATATTTAAATGTTTACAGAAAATAAAAATAATATGATAATAATATGACTTGTGGAATATTTCGTTGTAACATAAATACTTTCACCAGCTTTTGCAATCGATTGCTCTTAGATATTAGAGGGAACTGCAAAGGCGCATTAAACCACAACCAAAATCATCAATTATTATAGCATAGCTTCTCTCCACTGGCATAGAATTCTACAACTTAATTCATAAACACAACAGTTCGGTTACACTGAGAGAATGATTCATTTGCAATCCAACTACATTGATAATTATGCTAAATTGCAGAATTTTGCAAACTTACACTGAAATGATGCTAACAACAATATTTTCAATCAATTTAAATAAATTAACATAAACAAAAAGAAGGATATAAATTATTAGCCATCACGAGAGGAACAAAGAACCAGAGACCATTTTTTAAAAAAAGTAAGAAAAGCATGAAAGAGGGTTCTACTATTCTATTTGAAACTAAAAAATAGTGTATAAAAGAGGTTTATTCCTCCAATTCGAAGATTAATATAAGCACAAAGCTCTCTCTTTTTCAAGGAATCAAAGCAGTGCAAAGCAAATCCAATTCATGCATGGTATTTTTTCTTCATTATCATTTACAGCCTCATTTTTCTTCATTTGTTTCAATAGCTTTCAAAGTAAATACGAAACTCAAAATAAAAGTAAGGTAGGATGAGTTTACCTTCGGGTATAAGTGTAGTCGAGGTTAATGAGTCATAGATCTTAGGGTCTCTTTGCCAAGATACCATCATCACCGGAGGTAGGTAAGAGTGATGTGAGTTTTTTTCTTAAATCCTTGCACGTCAATTATTTGGTTTAGTTCTCAACCATCGGAATTTCAAATAAAAAACAAAAATGGATAAGGGTTAGGTTCTTACCTTAGTGTTGCGAGCTCCCATGGCCGGAGTGGTGGTCTTCAAGGATGAGAGGCTAAATGGTCATGTGATTAAATCCCAAACAGTGGGTTTCGGGTAGTTTTTAGAAAATTGATTGAGGGAACTATGAATAGGTTTGGGGTTTTTCTCGATGAAAGTTTGATTGGGGGGTTTTGTTTAACCCCTTATCGGGTTTGATTTGGGGGTTTTGTTTAACTCCTAATCGGGTTTGATTTGGGGTGGTAGCTACGGTGGCTACTTTTGTAAGGCGGCCATGATAAGTTTAGGCCTCTGATTTTCACTGTCAAAGAAGAAAAGAAAGAGGGAAATGGGTAAAAGGTTAGTGGTGACAGAAGATTTTACACGAGGGGGTAGGGTAGTTTAGTTTTAGGTTAAACTTTGGTAAGGGTTTTATTAAATCCCCTTAAAGAAATGCCGCTTCATACTTCCTCCACTAGCATGATTTGTAGGCTTATGGGAGAATCATTTCCTCCATCCTTTATTTTTTAACCTTATTCATTTTAGTCACGGGTAAGGACTGCTTTTGAATTTAACCTTTTGTATTTATCCCGATTTCGTTATTTTTCCTAGATTTAGGTTTCAATTATAATTTTTGAGTTATTTATGTTTAGGTCCTTATATTTATGCGTGTTTTTTTATTTAAATTCCCATTATAATTTTTTATTCGTGTGTCTAATTTTCACTTTATCTTAATTTAGTCTATGGCCAGGATTACTTTCTTTAATTAGTTGTCATATTTATTTTGCATGTTGATATGTTTTGATATGTGCAAGTATGTAAATGATTTATCTGCAAATCGTATGATATTTTTTACATGAATTGTATGATTATCCTCACGTGCATAACTCGACATAATTACATAATTGGATTAAGGGTAATACCCTTTTAATTTAAAATTGTTTGAGTGGCTTGTCTTAACTTATTATAGATCCTCTTTAAATGATTTTAAATTAAAAGTATATCCCATTAATGTCACTTAAAAAATCGATCAGTCACTTAAAATTTGGAAACGAAAGAAAAAGAAATGTTCGATTATTAAAATTTTTCGAGAAGAGATTGTTATAACTTATCTAAGATATGGTCTCGATATTTTTAAATAATCCAATATCTTTCATCTTTCTAAAAAGGCTTGGTAATTTTAATTTAATCTATTTTGGTGATTTTTGAATGTTATAAAATTCATATTTTTATTGTTTTATGGGATCAAAAATCAAATTAAATTCGAATTTGTAAAGTTCATTGCAAAGACATTAATTAATCGACTATGTACCAATTTAAGGCGTTGTGGGGGTGTCAATCATTCCCCACACGTAACCGACTCCCGAACTCATTTACTGGTAACGTAGACCTCAATTTTTTATTTTATTTAAAATTAATTTTTATTTAAAATGACAATGTTTTTAGGTGCCCAATCACACCCTAATCATAGATTGGTGGCGACTCTTCGAACCGTATTTTTCTATCGTAAAGGAAATCACAAATTTTTTGAAACGAGAGGTTTTGTAAATCACATTCACTTTTAATTAAAATTTAATCATAAAGGGATAATTAAAAATGGTGTGGTTTTTAAAATCTCACTTTTTAAGGAAAAATCGTTTCGACAAGTAATATTTTATATTTTAAAATTATTGATGTTATATGTATCTAAGTATACTAAAACTTTTTGGATATTTCTATGATAAAATATAAATATCTAATTTTGTCCTAAACACTTTGATGTAACATCATGGAAATCATAGAAGTATAATAATATATAAAAAATCATATGGTCACTTCTTTTTTACGATTTATTATTTTATGTTTTACTCTAAAAAAACTTTGAATGTGAGATAATGTAATATAGATTAATGTCAATAAAATAAAAACAAAAAAAAACTATATAAATTTCATTATTTAATAAGGTTGTTAGATTATCTTATTTTTTTAACATTAAGTGACATAATTTCATGACGTCTTTTAAAATCGTCATATAAAAAAAAGATAAAAACAAGTGACAAATAATTTATTTCGTCGTGCTAAAACTATTTTTTGTGACAATAATAAAATGTCACTTTTAGTGTCTTATGAAATATGACAAATTAAATTGTCACGAATAAAACTTATTAGTGACAAATGTGCAACGTCACTAATTCAAATTGAATCGGCATTATAATAAATCGTCACTTATACATGTTTTTCATTGGAGACGATTTTACAACGTCATTATTTTCTCTAAATGTCATTAAAAGGTTTACCACCAAAAAATTTGGTAGGAAGATTTTGGCGCCAAACATATAGTGACAAAAATCAATGACCATTTTTAAAATTGTCATAAAGATATATCATTAATCAATAAATATGACGAAAATAAAAAAAAATGTTACATTATAGTATGTTTTGTGACGATATATGTAACATCATATAGAAATTTTATCATAAATTGACAAATTTGTTGTAGATCTCACTACTGATCTTTTTCATTTTTGTTTTTGTTGGTATTATGAAAATGGGGAAAAACCAGAAAGCTAACGTATTTGAGAAAAATAGCTTTCGAATAGGAAAACAATATCTATACATAGTGTTTTACTAGTTTACTGCTTGGGAGCAATGTTTTACTGCTTTCGAATAGAAAAATAATAGATCTGCTTTCGAAAAGGGAAATAATAGATTTTGAAAACGTGAACAAATGGTTGTAGTACAAAGAGCAGGTGTTGCCTTGAGTAAAAGAAATTATCATCGGAATGTCTATGTGGCGTATTTGCTCTGACGATGGATCAAATTATCGTTGGGAGGCTATCAGTTCGGTCTTGCCATCGAAAGTCGATGATGACCTGAAAGGAACTCCTATTGCTCCATACCTTCCATGGTCGATCTCCTACTTCAAGGTAATAATTTATAAATTTTTTAGTCGCTATATTTTTATTTTGTACGCTCAAATTTCATAGATCGTACTCATGTAGGATGTTCGAAGCTTATTGAGAACGATAATAGAGGAGTGGATAAATACCCGATGTTTAGAACCAAATTTTGGAACTCTGTGGCGTTGAAAGAATGTTCAATTGCAAAAGCAATATCTATCCTCAATAAGGACGACGTTGCCTCTACTGTTACTTCAAGTAAACATTTCTATCTTATATTTAAATTTTTTTAATGTTTAATTCAGTTTCCAAGCCACCTCTTATCAAGTTACACATTATAGGTGGAAGGTCCTTATTTGTTTCAAGTGAAGCACTAAAGCGCACAAGGAGTCTTCTTGGTGAACCGGAGGTAGGGGATTTATTTGGTGAAATGGATGAAGAGTTTCTCCATATAGAGTTTACACGGAGGAAAAACTTAACGATGCTTCGTCAAACAAGGAAAAGTGTTTTTTTACGTCCTTCCCCACGAAGGAGTAATGAAGACTAAATTGTAGTGAACAATATGTGAACACTGTTTATTCATAACTTTAATGTTTATAAATTATTATGGATTTTGTTGTTAAGTGTTTGTTTGGATAACTTCTGTCTTAATTAAAATGTATGGTTTTTGTTCATTACATAAAGCTACATGAAAGTAAATACAGTTTATATAGAGCAGAAATAAAATATTTAACATCAATTAATCTTATATAAATAAAGGTAATTAGCGGCATTTTTAAGTGGCGTTTTACGCACAAACGCCGCTAACGGTAGTATTGTAGTGGCATTTTAAGCACAAACGCCGTTAATTACACGTACTTTAGTGGTGTTTTACGCACAAACGCCGCTAATTACACGTACTCTAGTGGTGTTTTTATATAAACACCGACAAATACTGAACTTTAGTGGCGTTTTTATACAAACGCTGCTAAAGGTCGTACTTTAGTGGCGTTTTAAGCACAAACGTTGCTAATGATACGTACTTTAGTGGCGTTTTACGCACAAACGCCGCTAATTATACTTACTTTAGTGGCATTTTTAACATATACGCTGTTAAATACTAGTACGTTAGTGGTGTTTTAAAAAAAATGCCGCTAACAGTCATCTTGATCTTTTCAAAACGCTGTGTTTTGGAGACTTTTGTTCTTACCTTCTACTTTACCCAAAACGCTAGCCTCGACTTTCAGCGTAGCATCTCATTTCACCCAAATCTCGAAACCCTAGCCCCGCACAGCCACCATAGCCCAGCCACCACCATCAGCGTAGCATCTCGCCGCCATTGTACTCTTCCGTTCGTAAACCACCATCGTACCCAATGTTATTAGGGTGTGTTGGAATCTAAATTCAAATGGTATGAATTTCTTTAGCTAGCACGATGAACACATCAAAGTAATTTCATTTTCATTTACTTGGTAGGGTATCAGATTTCAAAAACTCGTGACGGGTAATCACGAAGCATCTCGCCGCCGTCGTACTCTTCCAGTCGTCAACTGTCAACCACTTGCAGGTATGTTTTCTTGTCCATCGCACCCTACTTTCAATCGGCCATGTTGTTGTGCTTGGGGTTTTTTTTTAATTGTGAATGTTGGGATTTTTGTGAAACCAGTTTGGATTTTCACATTCATGGGTTGAAACTTGAAAGAACGATAGTTGTATAACATTAATCACATTTGCTTCAATAAACTGAGACAATCACAGGGCGTTGATATTGGTTTCTAAATAGAAGATAGAGAGCAGCAGTAATATCCTTTATTGAATTGATACACCCAAATTATGTACACTGTTAATAAATCTAATCTTAAAATATTTTTTCTTAACAGTAAACTGCATGCTGCTCATTTCACCCCTTATTCCTTTAACATGATATGCTCAAAACAAGGAAAGGGCACTTTAAGTACTTACTGGGAAAGCTTCAACAAGAAGAAAATAGAAAACATATGCAAATATAACAATTGGCTTTGTTACACCATGGTCTATCATGGGAGATGTAGAAATTTACAAAAATGAATGCAAAATTAAGAATTAAAGAGTATTGAACTAGGAGAGTAAAATTAGTCAACTTATGCAATAAGATACTCATGGATTAGATCAAGTTAAAAAATTATATATTCTTCAATAGAACATGAAGATTCAGTAGACAATACTGTGGTCAGGATACTAAAACAACTACACATGAGATGTTTAACCTTCTCGAAATCATCTCTTTTGGGAATTGTATGACCAATAATACTCATTAGACAAAGTTACTGTCGTTTGCAATATACTAATATGAAGCCGAGACTGTAGGTAACGCTGTTGAGTATACCAGATGAAGAAAGATTTAGAAGACCTTGTAGTTAAGCCCTAAAGTATACCCAAGTCTGAGTCTTCATTCACTTCTTCATTTACCATGAGAGAGAAAATCCCAGATCTTGTTCTTCTTCCACGACCCTGCTTTTGCAAGACTAACTCATAAATCAAACTCGGACTAGGGACTTGGATAATACTTATTGCCTGCCCATCTATCAAGGAATAGATCCGACAAGCTTGACTACAATCCGTATCATAGTCAAATAGTTCTCAGAACACATTACAAATAAAATAGTTCAACAAAAGCATGGCAATCTAATACCTGAAATGTTTCAAATTTCAGTGATCTAAAACTACATAAAAAAATTGTAGAACTAAGAACACAATGCATAAGCTGTAGAACATAAATTTGCAGTAAAATAACAATAAAATAAACGAAAGAAAGGGTTATTATATTCCCTCAGATTAAACTAACTTTGAGAAGGCACTCCTCTCTGCATTATGACCACTTTCTATATTGGTTTAATTCTCTATCTATATTGTATCCTGAAATCCTATTTCTTGATCTTCCGTTTCTTCTTGGGCCCCGGAACATCCAATATACCGACCGAACATCCACATTTAGCTCGAAATATAAGCACTGCTCTTCCATTAACAGGTGCCATCCTCTTTAACTCAGCTTCCAATTCCTTATGACGGTTGTGCAGCAATTCTAAAAGTCCTCGAGTAACACCATCTTTAGGTGTGGTGCTTGAATTCTTAACACATTCTTCGGTTTCCAACTGAATATCAAATTCGGTCGCCTTACTAAGCCCTTTACAGTGAGGTTTTCCACATTTCCTACTTGTACAAAAAAGCAAAATCGAAGCAACTATTGCAGAACAAGAAATTTGCATTCTTTTTATATGTGAAGCTTGAGTGGACCTGAAATTTGCATTATTCCTTAGTCTCTGATACCAGTTTGCCCTCTTTTTACTTGTGTCTCATGCTATTCCTTTTCGTGATAAAAATATGCAATTTATATGTTGTTTTCCTAACTGTTAGGCATTACTGGAATGTTTGATTGATAAAGAAATGCAGCTTTTAGACCAAAAGGAGCTGCTCTCTTACTCTATTCCGATTTTCCTGCAACACCTAATGCTTGCTTGTTATTTAAATTTAATATGTCTTCTAATCTTGGTCAGTTGTTTACACAACATAGATGATTTAATTGATTAACCTCTCAATTTTTGGTTAAGTGTATTTTAATTGAGTGTAGAAAGCCACCACCATCAGAGTAGCATCTCGCCACCGTCGTACTCTTCCGGTCGTCAACTGTCAACCACTTGCAGGTATGCTTTCTTCTCCATCACACCTTACAGTTAATCTGCCATGTTGTTTTGCTTGGGTTTTTTTAATTGTGAATGTTGGGGGTTTTGTGAAACCCCTTTTGATTTTCACATTCATGGGTTGAAACTTGAAAGCACGATAGTTACATTTGTTGTGCTGTGCGGGTGTTGGAGAAGGGCTATGTAATCTATTTGACTTAAAGAAGCAGATTACCATATGGAGATAAAAACAGGTATATACTCTAAAACAGAAGCCTCTAGGAATTAACAAGACAAAAAAAGAAAAGGTTCATTCAGAAAGATAAAATAAAATCTGCCCTAAACATAGTTTAAGTGCCATGTTTATGTGTAGATTAATAATGTTATAAGGACATGTTTCATAGTTTTGATGTTTATTAGGCCCCTTATATAGGTCTCTTTTCCATAATTTTCTTATGTCACAAATTTATCAACAAATTTATCCAGGAATTTATTAATTATATAAATTGTGAAATTAAATGTAATGCTTATGTTTATGTTCTAACTTTCTCTATAATATTAGAAATTAACATTTGAAATTGAAACTCCAGAAATACGAAATGGATAAGAGTTGGATGGATTTCTCAAGGGTAAGCGTCGAATATCGAAATGGAGTCAAAAACTTTCTAAATTTAACTTTTCTAAATGCAAGCCAAGAGAATATGATTCTTTGCCCTTGTAAGAAGTGTGCTAACATTAATTGCCACATTCGTGAAGTTGTGTACGAGCATCTAGTTGTTTTTGGATTTGTTCGGGGTATAGAAAATGGATCTTTCTTGGAAAGATTATATATGATAGATCTGCTTCCACAAGTTATTCGACTTATTCTGCTCCTTCTCACCATCCAACTGTTAGAGAAGATGACATAGAAGGGATGTTACGAGATGTATTTAATATGCACAATCATCAGCAGTATGTTACAAAATATTATTGTGACAATGATGTTAATGATTTCATTGAGATGGGAAGAATTGGTTGTAATGAAGAGCCAAATGGAGAAGAGGCAAAGTTTTACAAGTTGTTGAATAATGAACAACTATATAAGGGATCAAAGTTTTCAAAGCTTTCTTTTTGCATTCGTCTTTTCCACTTAAAATGCCTGGGAGGGTGGTCTGGTAACTCTTTTACGTAATTGTTGGAGTTACTAGGAGAAGTGTTTCCTTTTGCAAAAATCCCTCAATCATGCAAAGATATGAAGAAAATTATAAAAGATTTGGGTCTTAGATATGAAAAAACTCATAGTTGTCGGAATGATTGTATGTTGTATTGGGGTGATCGAAAAAATCAGGAGTCTTGTCATGTATGCGGAAAATCTCGATGGATAACTAGGGACGCAGAAAATGTTACTGAGGATGAAGCTCAAGCACGATCAAGAAAGAAACTGGTAAAGATTCTGCGATATTTTCCTCCAATTCCTAGGCTACAAAGATTGTTTATGCGAGAGATACCTAAGTTGTTCATATAAACTTTTCATGAATGGTTAGGCTAGACGGTAAGCAACTAAATCATTCCACATACTTATAAATAATATATGTCTTGCTTTTTATATAGAAGCTAGTCCTTATATATGCACCATTCATGTGTAATAGGTTTGGAGTAGGAGAGAAGTTAGTGAAGATCTTAAATGGCTTTCTCAAGGTCCGAATAGAATAGTTAATAGATATAATGCCTCCCTCATTAATATGTTCATGTTCCACACGAAATCTCGTGAAAGATTAATGAGTACACAAAATTATGGAATCGTAGTTACTTCTTCAACTACTAGTTATGCTAGTGTCAGGGACAATAATCCGTAGGAGGGAGATGTTGATTATTATGGAATTCTTACGGACATTATTGAGTTAGATTATTGTGGAAAACGAAAGGTTGTGTCATTTCGCTGTGACTGGGTTAATGTAAACAGAGGCATAAAAAATGATAAATTCGGGTTTACAATGGTGAATTTCTCTCGATTAATTCACACTGGTCAACGATTGATGGATGAACCATATGTATTTTCTTCTCAAGTGAAACAAGTATTTTACTGTCACGATCCAATGGATGACGGTTGGTATGTTGTGCTCCGTAATACTCCCAGAGATTTGATAGACATTGGGGATGGACGTAGAGATAACATTGAAACAAGATCAGAATGTTTACCTCTAGTAGAACAAAACTTAGATAAAACTATCACTAATACAACACAATTTCAATGGGTTTGGGATAACGTTGATGAAGATATTTATGATAACTGACATTACATAAGAATATCGTAAGATTTTATATGTTAATTTATTTATTTATAATTTATAACTTTTAACATGTTATCTTTCAATATATTCATTAATTAAATCGTTTTCTTATTACAAATGTTTGTTTATTACACATATCATGCCGAGGAGTAAAATAAGTGATTTGCGGGTTGTTTGAGCTTCTGAAGAGCATCAACAAACAAATAACGAGGAATCGAATACAACTGAGTCTTTCGAAGTTCCTGTAACTGTTGAAGAAGATGTAGAAATTCAAGGTAATCTTTGAAACTTTATTTAATAGTTTTTTTCATATTCAAAACTTACATTTAATAATTTCGTATATAGTTGAAAATGCTAGAATGCGCAAGAGTAGAGAAATTGCAATGTTGAAGGAATTATACCAACTTCCTCCTGGGCACCGTGTCAAAGTTTCAAGAAACGATGTCGATCAACCCATTGGCCCAGAAGCACGTCTTCTATCCGGTTACTTAGGCATAGTTGGACGTAATGCTAATCTGTTATCGATCAATTATGAGTCATGGCGCGAAATACCTAATAGTAAAAAAAATCAGGCGTTGGATTTTGTTAAGGTAATAATGTCATTATAATAAATACTCTATAACAATTCAATACTAATTTATACTGACGTTGAACACTTATTTGATGTATAGGAGAATTTTGTAGAGGTCTCTGACGATTATGTGAAGAAAGCATTAGGGAAGAGATGGAGAGACCACAAGAGCTCATTAAAAAAGAAATACTTCAAGAATAATCTCAACCTTGAAGAGAAGCTACAAACAGTCCCACTTGGAATGCTCAGGTACCAATGGGAAGATACAGTTAGATTTTGGAGTTCACAAAAAGGACGAGTATGATGTATTTTTTTAAAATAATTTTAACGAATTATAAATCATCATTAAAAGTGGTTGTTTGACACTGTAGGACAGAGAGCATGTTGGTGCTGCTAGCAGGCAACAACAAAAGTTTACACAAACGACTGGATCGAAGAGCTTTGATTGTATAGCTAATGAGGAGGTATTATAGATTATTCACATAGTTATTTGTATTCCATGTACATACTAACTCAAACTAATTATATTATGGTACATTGTAGGAAAATACATCTGATTCTAAAGTTGGCCGAATCAAACTCTTCGACATGACACATACAAAGAAGGATGACACTCTTATGACTGCTGAAGCTGTAGAAATTATGGTACGTTTATTGGATAGAGGTTTAAAATTTACCTGACTTTATTTATATCTGTAGCATGACATTTTTATTTGAATTAATTATTTACTTTATTATTAGGAAAAATTGAGGGAGAAAAGGGCGGAGTATCAAGCTACGGCTTCGAGTCAAGGTCTTGTTAATGAGGATGACATTGAAAACCAAGCTATTAATGACGTTTTGGGTCCTGAAATATATGGTTGGGTGCACTGTCAAGGATCATCCATTACTCTCACCAAATATTTTGGATCCAGTTCATCACAGTCTCAGTCTTCCCAATTAGAAGTTAGTTGTTTAAAGCAAATGTTGGCTGAAATGGATCAACAAATGGCTAACATGAAAGCCGAAAATGAAGCAAGGGAAGCAGAGAGAGCAGCAATGGAAGCACACAGAGAAGAAGCGACAGTACAGAGAAAAGTAATGACAACACAAAGAGAAGCAGCATATCAGTAGAAATGTCAAGAATTTGAAAAATGACTCGATGCTATGATGCAGATGTTACAGAAAACGCAACCTCAGAATCCACCATCATAGTCTCATTTATGTTATCAGCAGTATGTTAATGTTACTGAACCGTGTTTAACTGAATTGATATTTCGTTAATGAAAACTTTTATTTATTATATTGGATTTGATGTTGCTTGTTATGGATATAGAGTTTGATGTTATTGATGTCATGTTTGTTGGATAATGGAACATGTTGAAAAAAATAGATTTAGGGTAATCGAAGAAAATATTTAAATTGTTTAAATTATGTGTTCTTTAGCGGCGTTTGTAAAAAGACACCGCTAAATATCAAAAACAATATCGACGTTTGTAACAAAAAACGCCGCTATATACCAGACCTTTTGCGACGTTTGTATAAAAAAATACCACTATATACTAGACCTTTTGCGGCGTTTGTATCCGAAAAACACCGCGAAATATCTTAACCTTTTGAGGCGTTTATAAAAATGTTGCTATATACGTATACATTTTGCGGCGTTTATGTGAAAACGCCTCTAAATCTCAACACCTATTACGGCGTTTGTGGGGAAAACGCCGCTAAATCTCAACACCTATCCCACAAACACCGCTAAATCTCAACAC